TATATACTTATATTCAATATGTATTTCTTATATAGCAAGACAAAAAATGTCTAATGTAGTTACAGTTGTCTTTGTTAGAGTGTATGGATTAGGTGGGAAATTAAAAAGTAAGTGTAAAAAGACAGATAAGTTCCCTAATTATGTATAGGGTATTTTTTTCTGTATGTTCAATACCAACTTAGTTGTTTTTCTGCACAGACTACTGTATTATTTTTTAAAATGAAAATACATTGCTATTAGCTGTCTTCTTTGATTATCAAAACTTTATCTGTGGTCACTACATCTTCTGCTCCATAATTTATTACCTCGAAATTGAGTCAGGACTGAAACTACCAGACAAATGTTTGAAAAGTTTAAAGATTGAATCCATTTACATAGTTAAAGTATTAAATTGTAGTCTCAACTGCGGTAGGTAAATGAATTTGTGAGACGTCTTAGGGATTTTCTGTGTTCAAGTTTTAATTTCAGTTAAATTCACTAGAAAATGGTCGACGTAATTTCAAATACTTTACAAAAGTTTCTTACCTTGGTTTAGAAGAAGCTGAAACATACATGATATAAAATAGTGAAATACGTTTAGAAATATATTTAAATTTTGTTGAAAATTTCAAAAGAACATGTACATGAGTACTCTAATAATGAGCCTGATTGATTTGGTGTACAAGTATTGTATTTTAAAGACAATTGTCCATACACTCCTTTTCATTGTGCAGAATCGAAATTAAATATCTAAAGCTAAAAGAAATTTTAGCCTTTTAAAACATCAATTCCTATGTGTCTATTACACTTTGCTATCCAGTCAGGGTTGTTATGTATCTGTTTTGACTTATTCCACTATGAATAGGTAATGAACATGGGAAGGCTCATAGCAATGACATAACTATTTGCTGTTTCATTCATATACTGTATGTTATTTAAATGCTTTTTTTGCATTTCACAGATGCTTTTCATCCATCTGGAAAAGTAAAGTTCGAATTTTGTGGCACATTGTGCTCTTTAAAAAAGCATGGATTGGACAGGAGATTCACGATCTCCAGGCCCTATTTCATTAGACGTTAAAATCTAAGCAAAGCCATACCCCACGGCTCATTGGATAGAATTTCTGCTTGCATCAGTCTTGTTAGGCCAGAAGGGGTTGTCTTCCAGAAAATGCAGCACTGTACTCCAGTATGGGTCTAGGAGGGGCAGTCTGCTAGGTCATAGTGACTTTGTGGGTGTTACACATACAGTAACTTTTCCTAAAACAGGTATTGGAATCCAATATACTGTAGATCTCATAAAAATAAAAGAAATTAAGCGGGTCTCCTCACCAATGAGATGTCATGTGTGTTTTTATCATTTTCTTGTGTCTGAAATATTATTTCCCATATTATCTCGTTTAATTATTTTTGAGGAGGAGTGTTAACAAGTATTTCACAGTATGCAACCTACTGAACTATATCCATGTGAATTTCTGTTGAAAAGCTATAGTAAAGGCTCTGTGGCTAAGGATCTGCGCCTGTGACTGGAAGGTTGCTGGTTCAAATCCTGCAGCCGGCAGAGGAATCCTACTCTGTTGGGCCCCTGAGCAAGGCCCTTAACCCCAACTGGTCCAGGGGTGCTGTACAATGGCTGACCCTGTGCTCTGACCCCAGGCTTCTCTCCCTGTCTGTGTCTCACGGAGAGCAAGCTGGGGTATGCGAAAAGACGAATTACTAATACAAGAAATTGTATAGAGCTAATAAAGTGATGTTATGTTATGTTATATAGGATGGCTCAAAGACATGCAATCTTTCATCAGACAATGTATAACAAAAACAAATGTTAATCTAATTATTTGAAAATATGATGGTGTATATTATATACAGTATAATACAATGTAAAAGGTGCATTGGAAAATATATAATTATATTTTATATATAAGCTTTGTAAGATTTCTTTGTAACATTTCCCTTACAGTATATGAAGATTAGTAGAAATGTGTGATGTACAGTAGATGGACGCAGCAAAGTACTGTGTTTTTTTTAACCTTCTTGAAGGAGCTTTGGCTGAATAAAGAAAATAACTAGCTGAATTTGTTCCCTGTTTGTGAACTTAATGACACTGTTCATCCTGTTGTGCAAATAAGTTGTATTGATCTGTTCTTTTCGATGCAGTTTAAATAATTTGTTATCCATGAGCAGTAATGGGGGATCTGCACTCACTGATACTTCACATATCCATCTGCTCATTTTTATTTCTGTGATAAATCCATTGTGATGGCATGTGAAAACAGTCTAAGGTATAATAAGTCAGGATAATGTAATGAAACATTAATTAAATAACACAACAAACTAGTTCTTTGCATAATCCATTAGGAAGTATGTTTGCTAAATGTAATTAATGCTGATAGCAAAATAATGTATCCACTCCAATTTAACTGTAAATCAACGACAATAGTCTAATGGCCAGAGAGTTATGACGAAAAAGATGAGGTTATTTTCAGAGTTGCAGAATGCTCAGCTGTTCTTTAATGTATATTGTGCAGGACCCATCACTAGCCTCTAGTTCTCTGTACTAACCACAAGAATTTACGGTCTTTCAGTGTCAAAGAAAAGGTAACTCATTACCAGATAATGAAAGGCGTCGCCAATAAATCTGTCCTCTGCTTTCCAGTTTGGGATATACATGGAAACTTAAGCAGTCTTTTGTAACGAGCAAGGCAGAGAGCTTTACAATGATTACTTTGTAGCCTGATTTCAATTACCATGCTGGACACAGTGAGAGTTCGCGTTTGAGCAACGTTTGGCCGCTGAAAAGCACAGTGTGGTTAAATAATGGTTTTTAAATGAATGTTCCTTAGGCTTGAAAAGGTTTCCCTTGGTAAAAGAGGCATGGTACATTTATTTGTGCAAATGTGTAGACGAATCTTTGTGTATCACAAGGACCAACTACGTCTTTCTCATCAATTTGTATCATTGGAAGTGAATGATTAGTTGCTTCACCATACATCTGATGCAAAAACCGAATTTCTTTTTGTACCATAGCCCTGAAAACATTCAGAAAGTACATTTTGTTTAATGTCATAAAAGGGGGAAATAGATTAAACAGATGCTGTTCAGTCTGGTGAACCCACAGTGTTGGCTCTCGTGCCAATTAATGTCATTGCTCTCGCAGTGGTGTTGTGGTTTTGGGAGAGACAAGTGCCAAGGGTGAAAAAGTTCCCACCCGTTTAGAACTGTGCAGCCTTTCCATTAGCGGGGCCTCATGCAGTGGGAAACGAAAAACAAGCCAAAAATGGCAAACATGACGGTTTCTTTCATAATTGGCATCTCGTGACAAGCACCTTCTGTGGGTCTGACAATCATTTGAATCTACTCATAACTTTTGCTAATAACATCTGTTGCTTTCAATTTTAGATGTCAAAGTGTGATTATGTCTCCGTTTTCTCAATGACAGCGAAAAACAAAATATGCTGAAGAAGCATGGTAAATTTGTGTCATATTAGGCTTATTTCACATCTTATTTTGTATTATTAAAGAATCCATAGTTTCATAATAATATATCATTGACCTCCCAGTATCATTTTTACCAATCTGTTTAGCAAAATATGTCAGCATGTACTGAACCACTTTAGAAATGTAACATAATTTCATCCATCAATTTTCTAACTGCTTCTTCCAGTTCAGAGTAGCAGGGGAGCTGGAGCCTTTCCTGACTAGTAACGGGTACAAGGAAGGGTACACCCTGGATGGGACACCAGTCCATCACAGGGAACACACAGACACGCACAAGCTCACCCACAGGGCTAATTTTCCCAGGAACCAGTTAACATACAAGTATGTTTTTGGAGTGTGGGAGGAAACCAAAGCACCTGGAGAACACCAGCGTGAAAACAGGAAGAACATAAAACACACAGATTGCACCCCGGGTCTGAAAGTGAACCCAATGCCACAGCACTGCAAGGCAGCAATTGTACCACCATCTAACCATTGTACCACCATGCCACCCACACAAAACTCCAACCCTCATACTTAGTTATGCAGTGCTAACCTGAGTATGATATATTGAAAGGTTGTTAGATTGCCATGTAGAATGCTAGAGCTCATGTCTCTAGTTTGTTACCTTGTGAGTGTTCAACAAGTGTAACAACACATACTGTACTCTACATTGCTGTGGAGTCTTTGACATTTTTCTTTGGTTATTGTTTAACATGAGAGTGTTTTCATCTTTATGTAGAATGCAGAAACATATTTCTGTGGCACAGTAAGGGATGTTTTAACCATTTTGTCTTGAACTAACTACCATTTTGAATTTGAACTTAATCCTAATCCTGCATGTATGTTTTTGAGGTATAGAAAACAGTTTCCTAGCTTTATTGATATATAGAGAAGGGCAAATGACATTAATGGGAAGAAACACTTGTCAGAAAATCAATTAGAATTAATTATTACAGTAAATATAATGGGATAGTTGCTATAGCGTTTCATATTTACTTCTTATGTATAGTTTACTTTGAGGTGTCCCTCCAGTTATTGACGTTTCAGATCAGCGTGACTTAAAAATGACTAAACGACTCATCTCTTCTCATTCAAACAAAACTGTATAAACAGGCGACAGTGTTAGAATTGTAGAAAGCATTTAGTAGTGATTAAATTGTTGTGCGTGTAATGTATACTGCATTCCCTATATTGTAACTAATGATTGTGTCTAAAATGTCTGAGGCATTATACGCAACACAAAACATAAAAAAGATAGTATGTGTATAAAGGTGCTGTATCCATGCACAAAAGACTGCAGTCCTTAACAACACTGCAGTTGCACAGTCATGGCTCATGGCAAGAGTACGAGAGAGCACTCTGGAAATGTTGCTGCTAAAAATGCAACCAGATTTACTCACTAGGGCTCCCAGTGTCCATCAGTAAATCACTAGAATCTACCAATATTGCCATGAGGTATCTATACATAACTTCTGCTACATGACAGGTCTTCAATGTTCTGCTTAGTTTTATCATTTTTTTTCTTCTCCCTATTTGTCACAGGTAAACTCTACATGGGACCAGGACAGTTGTACCAGGATTTGCAGAATTTAATCCACGATCTAAATCTTGTTAACCAAATCACACACATGATTGGAAGTCTGAAAGGACACTATCAGGTAAGTAAACAGAGCTACGGGCCTTCTGTAAAATGTAAGTTTCCAACAGAATCCTTTCAGTGTCTTTTTACAGAAGAGGTAATAAATATAATGTTTTACTCTGATTTAAGTATTACATCAAGTAAACTTATTAAGTGTTTTGTCATTTCTGGATATCGGTTATTTTGAAGCTATTCTGACAATGCTTTCACTGTACGACTGGGAACAGGTTGAAGAGTTAAAAACACCTCTAGATCAATTGTTTATCACCTACATCAATTTCCCTACGGGTTTAATAAAGTATTATCTATCTATTTTATGTATGCATGTAAGAATTCCCTTAAAAATCAGACACAGCACCACAGTGATGAGACTGAGGTTTAATCTATTACAAGAGCCTTGCTGCCCTTGTTCAGTGGTCTGTATTTCCAGAGTTTTTCTCATGGTTGATAACTCAAAGGTAATGGCATTCAAATTCATAATCTTTATATCCATCGTGTACATTTCCGGCATCTAAATGGAACACGATTCTTGGTACTTGTTTCCATGGGTGTTTTAAAGGAGCTGGCTGTAGCACTGTTTGGCACTGTGTTAATGTTACTGGCGCCTATGGCCTGTCACTGAAAAGATTTGTCTGGAGCTGTGACCCAGCAGGGAAGAGCCCCCAAACTCTGACAAATATTGTTCTACAGCTGTTCGGACTGTTTTGCCCTGTATTGTATGTTTAATAAGAAAATGTTTTTACAGCGTAGCTTTTCTGGTCCCTTCAGAGATCAATCAAAATGGCAGTAGGCAAACTGTGTGGAGGCCAAAGTTTCTGCAGGGAACATGTGCTTTGTATAACTGAATTAAGTTTAAAAGGTCAATTTTTGTTAGATATTTTAAGCTCCGGGCACCAGATATTTTTTCTAGGCATATACATATTACGTAATCTTTCTGAGCATTTTGTATTTTTTTTATGTTTCTGAGAGGGCAGAAACCAGAGATGAGGCTGAGAAGAACAAGCACAGTTCCATTCCTCTCTTCCTCTTCTTCCTCTAGACAGATTGTTGCCTTGTGAACCCCAACACTTGTTGTAGTGCTTTCGTTGTAACTTGGCTGTGAAATTTTCCGTCTTTAGAATGTAAACCAAGCCGTTGCTCAGGACTGGATCTCGGGACTCCAAAGACTGATCTTTAAAAAGGAAGAAGAGATCAGAGCAGCAGACCGCTGTAGGATCCAGTTACAGCTCCCCGGGAAGCATGACAAGTTAGTCTCCAATTTTGTGAACAGACAGTTGTGCAGATATTAGAACTTTTTCAGGATAAAATCTAGTTCAGTTGTTGTGCAGAATTAGCTATTTTTTGTCATTACTGCAGGTGTTTTTTTTTTTTAATTGTTCGTAGTACACAGCGCAGTTCATAGGAAATAAAGACCATGCTGTAAGAACATTACAAATGAGACATTCTCGAAAGCAACATTACAAATAAGAGGAGGCCATGCAGCCCATCTAAACCATTTGGTAGGTAGTAGTTAATGGATTTGTGGACCTGATCCATCTGTTTCTTGAAAGAAGCCAGGGTATTGTCTTATCCATCATGGCTGAGTGACTTCTTCCATACCCCCACAACACTAAACATTTCGATAAAATTCTGTAAAAGGAAATGCTTCATTAGTAACCAGTTAACCTTTGATTCTTTTGCGGAGTTGATCTATTTAATAGAATTACAAAAGCACCAAAATATCCTTTGTTTCCTTGTCTAAGTATATATTGAGAGTTGCATATGATCGTTTAGAACCGAGACCTACTATAGAAGTGACCGAGCAATTTCATATGACCTTAAGACCCTTAAATTGAATACTCCAGAAACAATAGTTGTTCCATACTCCTATAACCCTTTGGGTAAAAAAGTGCCTCCTGATCTAATTTTAAATGCACTTATACTCTATATCCAGTAAAGGAACAAGTAATAGGTTTATTCCATGGTGAAAGAAGAAGAAAGAAAATACAATTTTTTGGCTGTTCCCTCACACCCGAAGAAGGCTCCACAGCCGAAATGTTGTGTTTTCTTTCTTCTCTTTTCAGCATGGAATAAACCTATTACTTGTTCCTTGATCATATGATGCCTAGAAAGCTGACATTGTGAATGTCTAGTGCTGGGGTAAACTCCAGGTTTGGGAAAAAAAAACAATGATGCTTTTGTCCCTTTTCCTGGCAGGTCTGGAAGGCCTACATATTTCACAGCGGTGTTTAATACATTTACTCCATCTATCAAGCAATCCTGGATCAGTAATTTACAGATGGCAAAATTGGCTCTCGGTATGTCTATTCTATCTAAGGCAATTCTACATACATATCCTTTTCTCCCTTGTAGATTGGTATATATTTATATCTGCAGGACAAAAACACTGCATTATTTTGCATGATCTGTTATGTAATGCATTGGCTATGAAAGGTCATATAAAAACATTTAATTGGTTTTAAGAATTTTAAAATCCTGCAGTTCTGTTTCCTGTCTGGTGTGCAGTGTTTCTTACAAGAAAACAATGCAGCCTTAAAGTCAAATGCTTTTGGCCAACATGCTCTTGGCACTTCTTACTTGTCCGCTATTCAAAATGTAAAAGTAACTGTGGTGGAAATAAATATATTGGTGCTGCAGTCAGAAAAAATATGTATCGCTTTACATTAGCATGATTATTTTGTTTCTGAAAATGTCTTTGTGTTTTTCTGCAGCATCAGCATATCCATGAATTTTAGTTTATGCATGCTGTTTGTTTGAAATGTCTAAAAAGCAGCCATGGGCCTCATATTATGTTAGTCTGTGTCATACATGTAAATATTGTGATTTCTTCAAATCAAATTGCCAAACCTAAGACTAGTAAACATTATCTGTTCTTTCACAAGTTATGTGAATATCATGTTAATGTCATTACTGTATATAAGCCTCTAAGGGAGTTCCCGTATTAATGTTTCTATTGAAGTTACACCAAAATAATTCATTTTTGTAGAATTCCATGGTACATCTGTTCACAAATTATTCAACATTGCCAAGTAACTGTGCAGCAGTGGCACAGAGAGTGCATCATTAAAGTTTGACAATCTGAAGACCACTGGTGGCCAAAATAGAAGTGGTAAAAGTGGTAAATCAGCATTACTGATACTCTCCATTTATTTTGGTAGTTTGGCCAAGATTCAGATGGGAGAACTTGTTTTATCTGCTGTTTTAAACTCAGTTGTCCAGAAAGGAGTAACTTTATGAGTTTTAAGGTGTAACTTTAAGGTGTAACACCGGCGCTTTTTGGAAATATCTGCCGAATGTCTTTAAAAGCTATTTTAATAGCTTTATTTTTTGTTTTTGTTTTTGTAAAATGGAGACTGTGTTGCCAAGATAACATATTTGAAAAAATAAATGTTTCTCTTCACAGAAGATGATAACCTGCAGGGTTGGTTCCTTGCAGAGGATGATGGGAATCAGATCAAAAAGCAGAAGCATCCTCTTCTACTCAGACAAATGCCTGTCATTATGTCTAAACTCCAGGAGTTCAAGGTAGATTTGTTCTCATCGTCAGTAACCTAATGCTGTAACGGTAATATTCCAAATTGAAGAGAAAATAATCCAAAAACAAAGGATTCCACTGACTAATTTACTTAATACTGTATATGACCATATAGAACATTTTTAGTATTAATGATCACTTTTGAATTGGAGTTTCTGTGGCATAATCATTAGTAGCTGCTCTTGCCAGTGGCGGTTGACAGTTAACTACTTAGCATACAGTTTTGGAAGTGGTCGCCTAGTGTAATAGCTTCATCACCATGGGAACACAACTACTTTGCTCAGTCTTGCTCAGGAAAAAATGTTAAAAACTGTTTATAACTGGCATTGGGAACCAAATTTCCATTTATTCCAATTACTTTTTTTCTCATTTTGATGGCTTATGGTGGGTTTTTTTTTTCAGACATGATACAAACTTAACATTTTGGTGTGTATACAAATTACCGATCTTGGAGTGTATCCTTTTCTTATCATTAGAAATGTCCGAAGAAGTGTTAGTTGTAGAATGTAAGCATATAGTTCAGGCTTTGTCTTTAATACGGTTACATATTCTAAAGAAGATGAAACAATAATTATAATAATTTCTTGTTTATATGCAGTAGCACATTAGGGAGCACTTTGCTCACAGAAGGGGATCCACTTCATCCACCTCTGAAGGACACCGTAGCGCACGTACCACTTTAAGCATTGTGCATCAGCAGCCTCACACCACAACAGGCCCAGAGGGCAATTGAAAAAATGCTTCACCAATTAAATTACAGGAGAACTTTAGGAAGGCCAGATTTTATAAGCCCAGGGAATTTAGACAATTTAGCAACAATTTTTATGTTAATCATGGAAGCTCTAATGATCAAAGAGCCAAGACCTCTCATCCGATGCACAATACCTAATGCCGTCAACATTCTGGTCTGAAGTGGAGAACGCCACCTCCTGTTTACCAATATCACATCCAGCTGCAAGTAATGTTGCTAGTTTTCCTTGGAAGTCTTTCAGGCCCAGTCTTGCTTAGCTTCTGAGATCTGGTGAAATCTGGTAAAAACCTGCCTGAGAAAATAGGCATTTTCCAACAAGCTTGATCAGATTAATTAAAATGCATTCAGCTGTCTTGTTCAAATTGTAAGTGAAACACATTAAACATACAGCTGTTGAAAATAAAACACTTCTTACAAACAATATTGCTCCCCACTTCTTTTTGGGTTACATAATAGTTCTTTTTCAACTGAGTTATTTTAGTTCTGATTCTTCTTTCACTTAGCAGTTAGAATATTTTGCATTTTATAAATTCAAAATTCAATTCACTTTACTTTCTTTGCCATTGTCTATGGTTTAATCTCAACACTCCTGTATCTTGTCCATATCTTGTTCACACAGTATACTGTAAGCTCTTAGCAGTGGTTACTATATGGTTACTATACAGGGACGTGAATGTCGCACATGAAGCCATTTCCTGGAAGAACATTTTCTGACAATACAAGTCCGGCATTCAGAGGTTTTAACCACTTTGCAAAGTGGACCTAATACTTCTTAGATGGAACAAAGTGAAGCTAGATACCAGTCCCTTGTGTAGTTGTGTCTGGGGCTTCATGACTCTAATCTGGGTCTCTCACAGTGTCAGAAACGGATCTGATGGGCTGGTCTGACAGCAGCTAAAAAGTTGTAGAGTCTGCATTGGGAGCCTTCTCATCCGGTCTCTGGGCTTCATGGCAACCTAGCAGATCTTGATATTATTTGGATGGAACCTTTGACTGCAGGGATTCGCGATGTCAGTTTCGCACATTGGATGCTGCTGACACGGTCTAATCCCTGTTTCTAAACATATTTTATCATATTTTAAAGATATGTAGGTACAACATTTGAGGTGATACTACTTAGGAGGTTCGGTAAGGGAAATTTGCTTGGGATGGGATAAATGTTATTCTGTTGTTATATGTATGTTATCTGTTTTATTGTTTTCCCCGCTAGGCTATTGCAAGTGTACTTACTTCCCTTTTCTTTTTTGTGCATTAGCCATGTCAGACTAAGTAATGTTATTTTTACAACATAATAATTCTTCATCTGAATTAAAAACTCTACAGAAATAACGTATATCTTTTTGCCAAAATGTATGTTTTTTGTATGAACTAATAAATATCTATCAGACAAGTCAGTTCAGTTTTTGGTGCCAGTTCCAAGCAATACAACACATGCATTTATGGAACTTTATGTTTTACTTGAATATGATTCTTAGATCTCTTTAAGAACGCAAGTCAATGTCTTGTTTCGTTGTGCAGGTGGAATGTGCTGTTCATAACCCTGAGCCATTCTGTGGAGATGATAACATACCAGACGCATTGTCTATGGGCCATGGGTGTCTCTGGGTGAGTATCTGTATCCACTTGAGGGGTGTAAGTATAGAATGCAGTTAACTCTTTGGAGACAGGACTGTATTTTAAATGTGTGCTAAGTTCTAATAATTCAGCCACTAGGATATAAGGGTTACCCGTGATTTGGGGTATGAGGTTGATAATTTGACTCTTATTTAGGTCAATTAGGTAACTGTAATGTTGCTATAACATAAGAATAATAGTTTTTAAAAACACTAATAATTGACAAACACCAGCACAAAGTTATTTTTCATCTCTTGTCATGATATTTTTGTGCATTACCCTGGTTTAACTGAAGTGATTCATTGTCACACATTTTCAAGGTCCTGTTGAACAGCTTTTGACACTCAAGGAGAATTTATAACCACAATTGCATTAAAATTTCAAAAACTGATTTTAACATTGTAACACCTGGCAAAGACTCATTCACAATTTTGCAACTCGGCTAAGTACACAAGAAGACTGAGTAACTTTAGAATAACAAGCAGTAAGTGGTAGAGATGGAACTTAAATTAAATCACTTGGTAAGAGGACCTTTACTTATACAGCTGCGCCCTATGTCATGTTGAGACATAGGCCTTTTGTCTCAGCAAAAAAGAGTGCTCATTCTTGTTTCAGGAATTTTCTTGTAGGTTCAATTACATATAAAATTTCAAAAAAATGTGTATGGATGCAAGGAGTCACAGTACAGTTCAGTGAAGGTTTGAACACCGGAAGAAGACACACACATGGTGTATTTTCCACAGAATCCTGAATTGCAGTAGTTGTACAGCGAGTTTTATACTCAATGTACAGCCAAGCTCACCCTATGTTATTACCATGAATGGGTGTTTATGTGTGACATTTACCAATCATATTGGGATCATAGAAAATATTTCCACTTTTGGCACTGTGGCTATTCCTGATAATGTTACCAATGCCTTTCGGTTACTTCTGTGATGTCTAGTACAATGGCAGGTGCTTATTTAAAATGCACTGTGGTTAGGTCATGACCCCCAGGCAAGAGTCAGATTTCTTCAAATGTAAGTGTAAAAATTATTTCACTCGACAGATTGCCAGCTGTACAAATCAGATGGGTCAGATCTCCATTGTGGCGCTTCATAACTCCAACCCCAAAGTGACAGAATGCTTCAATGTGGAGTCTCGCATACTGTGCATGGTGCACATCTCTCCTGAGAAGACTCAGGAGGAGCTGGAGGGTGGCCCCGAGACCGAGCACATGACAGGAAAGAGCCCTGACTCACCAACTGTGTGCCTGGGCATGGAAGAGGGCAGGTAACCCAGAAACCTTAATCAAACTCTTCACTTGCCATCACATCAGCATGAAAGCAGACCTGGAAATGCTTGGTCTGGTTCTTTTCTTCTTAAGTAATACTTAAAAAAAAAGGTTTAAATGTATTTTTAAGAGAGATAGATTAATCCAAAATGGCCTTATCTGACCACTGCATCTGAATTAATAATTTGACTCCTATTTAGATCTCTTGACTGTCTACTGCATTGTATTTGTAGAATGTAAGAATTGGAATTTAAAAACCATCTGTATGAGAAAATTAGATTTCAGGCCAGTGAGTGTCTTCCTCTCTTACTGCTTGGCCTGATCAGGTTTTTCACCTGCTGAACAGCATGAGCTGACTCAACTGTGCAGGATAAACAAGCTTAAGCTTAGTGCTGTCTGCTTGGCCTTCCCACCCTTAGACATCTGAGCTATGTGAATGAAAAGAGTCGGTAAAATATTTTTTTAAATTTGTGGAAACAGACAGTGCAGCTGCCAGGTTTGCACTCTTTAAAGGTCCCTGGACAATAATACAATTAATGTAAATGTACAGTAATTATCTGCACCACATGTTTGTATTGTTGTGAAAGCAGGCACAGGATCTGATGACTGTCATGGAATGTTTGAGAACCATTACTGATTGTGCTAGAACACAGTTGCCATTGTGCAAAGATAGAGAAAGGGCATTGACTCCAAATGGTGTGAGATTTCTGAAGACATCACAGTGCTGAAGGAATTGTAGTGGCAAACATATGATTAACATGAACTAAAATACTTAATTTTTGTTCTTCAGTTTGACAAGAGTAAATGTTTACACATATTTTACAGCTTTGCTGAATGTTTTTGTTTTATCTGATCTTTGATTAATTACGAACAGGCTCACAATTTTAAGCATTTATTTTACAAGTGGATGTAAATTTTTAAAGCTCTAAATAGTGCTTTTTAAGTGATCTTAATGGAGACAAAAGTACTCAACATCACCTGGATTTTAGATAATTTTTAAAAAGGTAAGATGTAAATGTTGTGAAATTAAATTTCTAATCAATAAATATGGCTTTTACAATGTGCTGAAGTAACATTTCTCAGCAGATCGCAACTCAACTCAAAAAACACAAGCACTGAACAGAAATATTCATTCAACTAAAAATGGTTTCAAGTGTGTTTTATTTATCAAATTAAGAGGGTTTTATTGTCATGATCAGTGAATTACAAAAAGTAGAAAACATTTTAAATCTTCAAATATTATATTATTGTTCTCTGTTTTTCTGGTTGTGATATGAGATAACATACTTAACTACGAGTTCCACCGAGCTTCCTACTCCCTCCAGAATCTGCCATTGTGTATAGTTTTTCCATGTCACCCTGCAATTCACTTCTGGCAGCCCACTAAAGCTAAGCAGATGTGAGCCTGGTCAGTACCTGGATGGGAGACCTCCTGGAAAAAACTAAGGTTGCTGCTGGAATAGGTGTTAGTTGGGCCAGCAGGGGTCGCTCAACATGTAGTCTGTGTGGGTCCTAATGCCCCAGTACAGTGATGGGGACACTATACTGTAAGAAGGCACCGTCCTTCGTATGAGACATAAAACAGAGGTCCTGACTTTCTGCGGTCATTAAAGGGCGTTTCTCGGAAAGAATAGGGATGTACCCCAGGGTCCTGGCCAAATTTCCCATTGGCCCTTATCTTACCTCCAAATTATCCCCTTCTGTGAATTGGCTTCATTACTCTGTTCGCACTATGGCTGCCATCGCATCATTCAGGTGGATGCTGCACATTGGTGGTGGTGGAGGAATGTCCCCATTATCTGTAAAGCGCTTTGAGTGGTGTCCAGAAAGTGTAAGCAATTATTATTATTATTATTTTAGTATTCTAAGGAGACCACAAATATAAATTTGTGAGATAAAGGCACATCTTTTATTTTATTAAATTACTGACAAACCCTATCTGTATGAACTGGTTTCTATAAAGTAAGGCATATCAGTAATGGTGTAGCTTGTCTACATGGTTTAGTAATATTTCTAAGGACTGCTTTCCATTAAATCTCAAAATCTTTTTTTCAATTCCATAGCATATCAGTGTATAAAAGTTGTCAACGGTCAAAGAAAATTCGCCTTCAGCATTTCTTCACTCCAGACAGATCAACGGTAATGAGTTTGGTCTACAGTTCTCCATGCCTCTATGCTGGCCTAGTGAGTGGAGCTGTTGCTATCTACTCCAGAACAGAAGGTAGGACTGCTTTACCTTCTCCTGTCCCTTTCCATTCAGCACTGCAAGGGGATGTCAAAATGATCATGCAGTGTTAAAATATGAAGTCCATTGATACTGCTTGATGTTTTGACACTGCATCAGTGTGAAATTAGAAAAAGGTGATTTAACTCTTAAAATTGACCCTCTCCATCTTGCTGTGATGCTGAGAAGTAAGAGTTTTTTTGTCTTTCTAGATATTTTTTTTCTACCTGATTTTTCTAGAAGAAGTCCCCCACTGTGTTACAAAACAATAGCCTCATACTGAAAATGGTCACATGTAGGTTTGTTGATTAATCAGTGTTAAACATTAAGTATTGTTACAGAGTGACAGCTTGTCTCTGAGACAGCACCGCTTTTTGCACCATCTGTCCAGAGGTTTGTTGGTCTCTGATATGCACCTGTATACATCTGTAGTATTTTGGTTGACATGTAACTGTATTTCCTCCTGTGGTCCTGTCCTTAAGCAGCTCTGGTGAACCTAATGTCTCTAACCCATTCCCAAAGCATGCTCGTTACAGGACCAGATACCCAGCTTCCCATTGACCTGATGTATAATAAATAGAAAACCTCTATTTGATGTTACCATAATATCCTCTGAGATTTGTTTTTTTTGTTCTCCCTCCTGGGGGAAACTCTCAGATACAGCTCCTGGGATAACCGACCAGGGGATGTTTCTTTAACTGAATCTTATCTCTAGCAGAGCACAATTGTCGTTAGGATTCCTAAGCCTTTATCTCACAGATTCCCAGGCTAAGGCTTCCTTTCTCGCCTAACCTTGCCAAACTGTAGCTCTAACCTCTTGAGTTTATCCCCTGCGTTATCTTCGACCTTTATTACCCAAGTCCTAACCTCCTTGAAGGTCAGATGGGTGCATATCTCACATATCTACCGAGTCTCAGGGCTATACTTCTTAGTATCTGGATTCAAGAGCTCCCTTTCCATCCACCTCACGCTGCACGAGGATTTCCACACTGCAGCATCCCTAACCCTTTGCTCGCAGACTCCAAGCTTCAGAATGCTGACAGGTTCCTTTCGGTGTACAGTGCAATTACTTCCTAACTTACTCCCTTCCTCAGACTACCTTTAACCTTAGCACTGTTTCCAAACTCCCTCCAGAGTTTCTGACCCTGTGAATGGTCTAACTGCCCCTTATGTGGTACTAGAGAGAACTGTGGTCTCTGGTACCCTTTTAGGAAGCCCATTTGGTATTCCCACGTCCGTCTCGATATTATAGTATAAGAATTCTCGCACGTAACTGATGGTGCCATGTTGGTACCCTATTTTAGAATTCCCTCCCATTTACCTAACCTTTTACCTGTTGCTTCTATACCTCTTCAGAGCCACCAAACTAATTCATTCCACCTTCACGAAACTATCAGTTGACCCATTACATGTTACTTCTCTCACCTTCAGTATGTTATTCAAGACCTTCCCCAATATTCTTCTCTCTTATTCAAAGTTTGGAACCTTTATTAGTTGTGTTTCCTTACCGGAGAACCTTGATCTTCTATTCCCCTATCAGAGCACCTATTCCCCTACTGGGGAAACTCAAATCCCCCCCTGTATTTATAACCGGCTGATATAAAGCAAACAAAGTTACTGTGCCCATTCTGGTATTTAATCAGCTGATGTTAACCATTACCTTTCCATGGTCTTAGAGAGAACTTGAACTGCCCCACAGTAGCAGTGTAATCCATCTCTCAGCTGATCCCATGCGGCCAGGTCCCCTCTACCCTAACCATTATCTTATTGGCAGAATTGACTCAGCAACGACCAAGCCTGCTACTACTTTATTTGTCTGTGTCTGAATATGTGTATTATCTAGTGACTAAACCAACGACTCAAGGGTGCCTTGTCTGAGCTCTCTTAACCCTAGATTACCCTAACCAATCAGGGCTCTATATGGCAAGAGCTAATACTTTCCCCTCTTTTGCCTGACTTCCTTGTACTCAGAGCCTGTCAGCTCCTCAGACCCACTGACAGTTACCCCATTAGTTAACCCATTTTGATCTTAACCTGACACACATATGTAAATATGCTGTTAACAGAGAAGATGAGACAAATACCAGTGTGATTATCATTGACAAAACCCCTGTTTGAAGTCCTACATATAAAAATAGGAAAATGTTAAATTGTATATTTCCCAGTTTTTACATTCTTAACAATTACTTCATCTTACTGAGGACTTTCACTCCAATTTGTGGTTGAACTGTTTTTGAACTGCAAGAGATGACTTAAACCATAAGAGAAAACCCATCCATCTACTGTATCTTCTAATACTGTAAATTAATCAAATTCAGGGTCAGGGGGGAACTAGAGCTAGACCTTTCTGGACACGACAATCACAGGGGCGCACACAGACAGAGTGACATGCAAACACTTGCACCAGAGCCAATTTTATAGAAGCCAATTAACCTGTCAGTATGTTTTTTGGCTGTGGGAAGAAACCAAAAGCGTGTGGAGTAAACCAACGGAAACATGGGGAAAACATACAAACTCCATGCAGATAAAAAGCCACTGGAATAAAAAGATCTGGAATTGAACCGAGGGCCTCAGCAGTGCCAGGCAGCAATGTAAAACATTGTGCTGCCCTAAGAGAAAACCTTTATATTATAACTAATCACTATGGGCTAGAAACAATGTATGTTTTTCTCTGGCAGCACATAAGAAATGTCAAAGTCAACCAAGAAATTTTTATTTATTTGTGCACTTCAAGATTTGGTTATGTTTAAAAAAACACACTGCTTTGGCAGAATTATATTCTAGTTTACTGCCATTTCTGCATGTGTAATTGTTAGCTTGTTTGCATGCCCCAGCTTCTCCGTGTTTGATCCACTTTTGATTGTGTAAGAAGCAAATGAAAAATAGTCAGACTGACACGCACTGCATTTCACAACTTTGCAAATTCAGTGCTTTCCTCCATGTTTTGGTGGGTGTACCACTTGTTTGTCATGCTTAAAAAACTGTGATCTGTTTCTGCAGAGATGTCTCAGCGGAGTTTTGGTTGCCTCGGTGATATTATTAATCCACATAGCTGACCTATTTTCCTGCAGACAAATTAGAATGGCCTGAAATTCTGACCTAGTGCTCTTTAAAGAGCTTACAGTACAGCAGTACAGTACAAAGCAGGCAGGAAGAAACTGTAAAACAATTCAAATAAAGGAAATGGAACCCAGCAACCTTTCCTTTCATATTTACAGATAATTATTATAATAACATCACTGCTTCATTCATGACATTTAATCTGTACTTGTATAATGAAGATTTCAACCTATTTTTCAAATGTGTTAGCGATGTTTTTGTATCTCATACAACTCCCTAATTTCTGATATCGTTAGTGCTTAAAATTAAATGCACACATTATTACCCACAACTAAACCAAATTTTAGTGATCAAACTCCATTATACTAATGATGCTGCAGTATGCACAATGTAAGCAATATATTTCCAGACATACATCCAGATATAATTAATAAGGCTACTGAGCATATAGGACTTCGACCTAATATTCAGAAGACCAAAATTTTCCATCAGGCATCGACCATGTGCAATTGATTCATGATGAGTGTTTAAAGAATGTAGAGGACGTCCTACAGTGTATCTTGTGAGTTGTCTTATACAGTAAGCTGATATTAATGAAGATATTAAGCATCATCTGGAAGCTTGAACACTTTACAATCAGCATGACATTCACCATGAAGTTTAAAATGATTAGTGGAGTACCTCAGGGGTCTAGTTTAGGATCACCGCTCTTCCAAATTTATATACTTTAGATGATCTAGATTTAGGTATTAGAAGCAAATTAGTCAAGTTCACAGATGATAGGAAAACCAACACTGTAGAAACTGCTATATGAATTCAATAAAATGCTTAGACTCCATTCAGAGCTCAGCAAACATCTGGCAGATTATTTTTAATGTACACAAGTGCAGGGCTTTGTAAAAACATATATTTTAAATGCAGAAAACACCAAGTCTGAGAGGTTGCTTGTGAAAAAGACTTAGGTAATTATGGAGACATATCATTATCATCTTCTAGACACTGCAGGGAAGCAATAAAAGGACAAAAAATGTTACGATATATAGTTGACGGTGTAGAACTTAAAATCAGAGGATTAAAATTTAAGACTTTATTCAGAATATCATTACAGTTTTGCTCACTGTGAAACAAAAAAGATGTTGCTACACTGGAATCAGTCCAGCAATACAGTATATTCCCCAGATTAAAGGAATGTCCTACACTGACAAGCTAAAGGAGCTGAACCTTTTTAGTCTTGAACAGAGAAGATGATGAGGGGACCTGACAAAAAATCCTTTTCAAAATCCTCAAAGGCACTAACAGAATCAACACTGAATCACAAGCCAGAGTACACAAGTGAAAACCACACAGAAATGCATTTGCAACAGAAAACTGAGAACATTTCTTTACACAAAGGGATCTGGGAGTATGGAATAATCTAGCTACTATAGGTTGTTGAAGTCGATACCCTGGCTTCATGGCTATTAAAAACCAAATGATCTAGATGGGTCAAATGCCCCCATTTTGTTAGTAAATTTTCTTATGGTCTCTGCTGCCACCTCAGATATTCTCTAGGTCACAGAAGATGATGATTTCATCTCTTAGCTTTCAACATGTTGCCCTGGATTGGCCTCCGTCAATGCAAGTCCGTTTTCATGCAGAAGGTGAGCTGCAGTCAATCTGGTCATTTCTTCCTGGACTTTTTTTTAATCCTGTAGCCACTGATGTCTGAGCATAATTGTACAGATGGATTATCCTGGGCTGGAGATATGAATCTCTGCCTTTGAGAATGTGACCTGTGCCTCACAGATTGTTTTTTGTTCTGAACTAGTCTGCTTACTGTGGAAACTGAATAGAAGATTCTTAGGGCAACTTCTTCTGTAGTCAGGCAGTCTTCAAACACATTCATAGAAATCCGGTAGTATTCATTGCTCAAGTGGGACATAATCGAATCATTCACTCATATGGGCAATTTTAATACAACTCCGATATCAAACACTGAACTACTGAAATTTGTATAAGATCTGTAAACTTTAGCTCAGTTCTTAACAAACCTAGTTGTTGACTATTTACTAGTACTTCTTGTTTCGATGGATTTGTTGATGTAAATTGAGTTTATAGCCATTGTAATTTTTGGTAATGCAGAGACACAGGGTTCATAGTATCTAATCTCCAGGCCTGTTTCCCACACACTTGATTTCATGGAATCACCCAGATGATATTGTCCTGTGACTGCATGGCATGGCACAGAGCTGTTCAATGAAGCACTTACAGTAGAAGTCTTTCAATACATACAAGCTGAGAATGTGTTTTTGTATTCATGACAAGTATTGGTATATCATAGTCAAACATTCATTCAAGATCCTCAGGTCTTTGTATTCCTAATAGAATTAGGGTTTAAATTCCCTGCTGCCTAACACTGAGACTTTCTTCCTTCCAGCCTCACTGTCAGTGGAAAATGAGATTCAGTGGCTGTAGTTTAGTATGACTTTGATTCTCTGTATTTTTGTTTTAATATTCAAACCTGCTGTGACTTGATTGGACATTAAATGCAATGAGAAGCACTCTTCTTCAAAACGGAAAGTCTTTAAAACAGGAGAACAGTCACAGAGATTGTGATAAGGAAATGTACAGTGAACTGTTGTAAATTACGGACTGTGCACGCAACCTCAAAATCTTTCTCATGTCTGCACAAGGAGCTCTGTTTATGAAACAAATAAGCTGCACATCATTAGCTCCAAGAAAAACATATGACAAAATAAAAAAGTGCAGGGAATTTTATTAAAAACTGGAGTGCATCTGTAAGCATTTCATCATCAGATCCTGAACAGAATTCAACTAGCATGTTTTATCTCTTTGAGAAAACTGTTAAACATTTTTTCCATATTAATCACCCTCTAGTCAGACTGACTTAGTCAGACAGGATCGCTTTAAAATTTTGTGTAGAGATATTGTTTCTGTTGATGAAACATAAGATGCTATAAAGTATTAACTGTCAAGTTTTTCCCTACCATATCATGGTGTTTACAGTACTGATGTACAACTGTATCACCCTGTTATAAATTTGTTTGAATGTTAAAGGTTCAGCAATTCACATTTATCATAGATAATATGTTATCATGTCGTTTATTTTATCATAGCATTATTTGTATTATCATTTTAAAATGTTTAACGTTTTTTATAGTTCTTGATACTAAAATATTTAGTTTTTGATAAAAATATTTGCTTTTGTTCCATGAATTAAATATTGAATAAATAGAAGTTGATGAGATGTGAAAATGAGTTGTGAGAAAGAAACTCAAACCGGAGTTGGTTAAATTGTTTTTTCCTTCTGCTGTTATAGATAAGATTTTTCCTTTAATGCTTTAGATAATAGGTTAGACTCTGAAGACCCTTGAGAGGATAAAGACATTCTGATGGTTCTGTTTTGTAAATTTGGCTCTTATGGTAGAATAATCTGCTGTAGTAATTCTTCCTTGTTTTCATAGTTACAAATGTAAAGCAAGAGGAGAAAACAAGAATGTTTTCTTTCTTTTACAAATAAAACAGCTTTTATTCAAGTATTTGTGAATCACTGATACTTCAGTGACAAGATACTTTCATTGCATATTCCTGCCAATACTGACATTCATGACACAGATTTATGAGATAACAACAACAAACATTCTGACAATAAATGTTACATAATCTGTATTAGGTTTAAACTGATTGCTAAAATCCAAGCAACCACTGGTTACTCTTAGGCACAAAAAGTGCTCATAGTGCCCTAGATTTAAAAAGCTTTTGCACATTTGAATCAACCATTCAGATAGATTTGAATGTATCTTTATCTAATTGTAATGTGCAGATAGTTTTGTACATAGTGATCTCTTCAAAACGTTCCACTTTAATTACACATAATTGAACTGTATTGATAAAAAAAATATATTTGTAGATTTTTTTCATGATTAAGCAGGTAAAATAATATTGTTTGTAGAGTCTACTGTTGTATATATACATTCATCCAGGAAATCAGCTGAGCATGTGGAAAATAATAATAATTAACATTTATTTTCAACAGCATTGATCGACAGGTACTGTACTGGGAATGTCACAGTCTAGCAGTGTGTGTAACCAAAGGAGCAGTAAAAGCTGTACATCTGTAATACATCCTTTGTACCAGGTTGCATATACTGTCCTGGGGTTCTATCCTATTCCTCTCATAGAGCTTAGACAAGTATGTGCGTTTTCACTGGTCTCTGAGCCCTAGATGCCGCCTGCAACCCCAGTTTTATCTCACAAATGTTTAGTGGGGCTCAAAGCATTGTGGGATTGTGGGGCATCCATAGCATAACTGCCACATTCTCATCGTTAGATGAGTAACATGGGGACACGTGTTGTCCTGGTGGAAGATTTTCATGTCAGGATGAGCCTGCAAGAAGGGCAGCTACTGAGGTCCCAGAATGTGATCAATGCAGCAGTATGCGATTAGGTTGCCATCAATCACTGCAAGTGGAGTTCTGTACACACCATTCAGCACATTTGGACCCCCCCCCTCATTGATCTTGGTGAGGTCTTGTGACTCGTGGGCTCCCAGCTCTTGGGTTGTTATTGACGCCCTGTGTTTGTCTGGAATGTTTTGCCGGATCAGAATCTGCTGGCGGTGACACCCCAGACAGCGTGTGACAGTGTGGTGACCTTGTTTAACCTCCAGCATCTCCATCATGCCGATGGCACAAAGGCATTGTTCTCTTGATGTGCATGTTGGTTCCTTTCTATGTTGTTCTTTTTTTATTTTACCATGGCTTGACATTCAGTCGTTTCACTACCGGTGACCAATCATTTATTTCAATAATGAGGCTATTTGTTTCTTATCATCAATATTTAAAGCATAACAAAAATACTTTACTGCATTACTGACAATCATGAACAGTAAGTTAATCAAGAAGAAAACAATTAATCTTATGTGTTCCAGAACAGACACTTTTCTAATCATATTTGTGATTCACTGATGTGTTATTAAATGATGAATCAGCTGAGTGATAATTAACTAACAATTAGATGAAGTGGTTAGGGAGTACAGTACAGGACATAATGGTTGTTTACAGTTCTGTTGTGAAAGAGCAATCTTTATGGTAATCTCCCAGAAAAACTGTAAAAATGCATTCATTTCTGTCCTCACAATAATATGCTCAAAATACGATATATTAGTAGTTTATTGTCTAGTTTCTCAGAAATGTTTTATTTCCCCAAAGCAGCTGTGTTACACACACAGAAACTTACAAAACCTACAAATACAAGTAAACTTTCCATTACAAATAAATGTAACATTGCATAACAGATATCTACCCATACATATTCATTTCACTCCACTCCTACAGAAATCCACACAACGACAACAGAACCATGTAAATATTCTCTCCCCACAATTTCACTAAAACCTTATAATTATACATTACCACTTCACTTTTGCACATAGTCCATTGGTTGCACTTTCCCATAAAACACTTATTGATTGAGTAGTTTGAAAAATATTGTTGTGCTTGAGTACACAGCACCCACAGACCTGGAATCTGTATGTGTGTATAACCTACTGTACCACATAAGGTTAACAAAAAGTACAATCACAGATATCCCCAAAATTGGAAAACATTGAATGCTGTGTTAAATATATTAGTCCTTATGGTGTATTTAAGGATTAAATATAAGATTTAAGGCAATTCTCATATCACAAAGAAATTGAGTATCTTACAACAGAGGAATGGCCCATTGATTTCTTTGGTTTAAAATGCAGAGTGCTTGCAGGCAGGTTGTAGAATTCTTGATAGATCACTGGGTTACACCTGCAGGGGTTTAATTGCATAATGACGTGGGCTTATTTTGGAGCAAGTCACTTTGGCGATTGTTGCAAAACGTATGCAACACCATTCCAAGACTAATCCATCAATATTATATTTTTCAAATGCACAGAATCATTTCTTCTCTCTAAAGTGTTGATAACAGTTTCATCCTGCTGTAAATATAGCTACAGTTAAGTTTTTTTGCTCAGCACCATGACTTGGTTTCAATCTAAAGCAAATAAACTATTGATTATCTACAGCATATAAAGTACCTGAAAGAGCTGTGAGTTGCATAATATAACACATAATGTACTGGATGTGACCAGGTCTAGCCCTTGAAATAAAGAATCAGAGTATTGTTTTAGAAAGATTAGGATAGTTTACATGATCTTGCAAAGTCATATGTCTGAATCTGTTCAAATGATAATGTGCTGCTGCTTTTATGACTTCATTTTTGAATTTCACTTTTTCATGATTAAATTTAGATTAGAATATTATGGAGCAATTTAATTTACCTTTAATGTTTGAGGTTAATTCCTACAGTGTATCTATATTTGTGAAACTTAAGCCTAAAGGGGATGGGCAAAAAGAGTTTAAAGGCAGTTTACCTTTAAGAATGAATCATCAAAGGTTAAATACATTTTAAAAAAGTACACATTGTTCACACTCAGATTGTTTTTATATGAGCTTACACATATATTATTCTCATGTACATTGTAAAGTACAAGAAACTAATCAGAAATAAAAAACATGGTATGAATGTAAGATATTTCTGTAGAGCTTTAATATTTAAGTAGCAATGTTGTGCTAGGACATTGCCGGGGTGCAAAGGTATTTTCTTACAACAGGTTGTTAAAAAGGACAGAACTATAGTCTGTAGTCAGGTAAAACTTAGTATAGCGGGCTGTTGGTTTCTCATCTGCAGATGGTGCCTGGAGCACAGATTCCCCAGCGGTGGTCAAACTGGGGGTCCTGCCGGTGAAGAGCATGCTGGCGATGGAAGACACCATCTGGGCATCTTCTGGGGGGCAGGTCTTCATCATCGGGAGCCAGACGCAGGCGATTGAGGTACTGTACTTGGGAAGTGTGGGTCACGGTGCCCTGCCGTGTCAGGGTCACTAAGGGGCATGCTGCAGAGAGCGCCAGGACGGGCCCACGTCTCACGTCTCCTCCTCGCTCGGGGCAGCTCAGAGCTGGCAGCGTCGGGGATGAGCTAGCGGAAGAAGGATCAGTTCTTCCTGTACATTCACTGAGGAAATTTAAGTGACCCGTAAAAACAGTGCTTGCTGGCTACATACTGTATCTCATGACCCTGACGTGCATAAGAGGGTATTGAAAGTGATGTGATGTGGTATCTAGTGAAGCACACTGAGCTATAGTGAACCACCAACAAAGCCTTTTTATTATTATTTCATAATGAATAATACATTTAATGGCTAAAAATATGCCTTTGCCTGCTTGGGAGTTTCTCCAGTGTGCTGTGACTTAACATCCATCCTGATAGTACAGTTCTTTAATGGAAAATTGTTGTACAGTTTATACAATACGCAATCAGCTATGGATTTTGTGTGAAAACTTTCTAGCTGTTTTTTTTCTTGCCTAGTCAAATTGATCTTCCCTTATTAAATTAATTATATTGTAATTGGTTTTTTTTTTTTAATTGAGAAGTTTGCTTTCCTTTCAAAAGAATGTTAATAAACAAAGACCTGGTGCCATAAAGTGCTACTACGCAATATTTATGGTTTGAGTCCCCTGTGACATTTTATTCATAAGTTCAAGTCAAAATGGCCTAGTTACAACTGAGTTGGTGTTACAGCATTCATCACATACTGTGAGCATAGTTGAAATAGTTTTGTGGTCAGCGTGTGGATTATGGAAATGTAGTATCCCACACATTGTTTTGGATTTTACTTTGTACACGGCATAAAGTACACTTGATAATACTAGGAAACTTCTTGGACTGAAACCTCAAAAACAATGGCACCATCAAAGTTTGGAGAAAACAAGCACTCCTTCACAGCCCCAGTGCACGCAAGTCATTCTGTAGCTAAACAGCATTCGGATCTGTACTTAATGCTTCTTTCAGCAGATTACATTTAATTTAAATGGAGAATTCCTTAAGTAGCTCATTTAACTAGTTTGTGTGTGGTCTGTGGCAAGCTCCCTTATACAATTTTTTAAAGGTTTCATTTACTTCTAGTGTGTATAAAATGCATTGCCCATTGCTCATTGAAAATCAAATAGTTCAAGGGGTTTGTACTTCACAAAGAGCTGAAAAATAAACATTCCTGCACAAATATTTGGGATGAATCAGGGATGGATTTCTGTGCCTGCTGAGAACTGTAATGTAATCTTGTTAGAAAGGAATCTCCCGTTGCTCCTTTTCCTTTGTGAATTATGTTAATATTTCACAACGGGGCATTTGCATATTGTGAAGCATCTCTAAAATCTTATCATTTCAGTCATAGTACAGGCTGACATTCATTTTTGGGGATGAATTTAAACTCTAGTAGGTGGACAAAAGTTGCACAGTGATTCATTATTTCAGATTATGATTTCTATTTAATTAAGTGTGCTCAGAGCAGGGGTCTTAAACTGCTGTTCTTGAAGATTATTGAGCCTCTTGTGGGTTTTGTTTATCCAGCTCTAGTCTCAGTCATTTAATTTCTCTGGCAAAGTATTTTTTTCCAGGTGTCATTCCAGTGCAGACAACAGACTAAAATGCGTTGTATGATGCTGCTCTGTACATTTTAAATTCTGAAGAGCACCAATGCAGTGATGTAACAATCTTCAATATGGATTTGTACTGTGTTTGAAGAAAGGGGACTTTCACCTTCTCCTGAGAGTCTGATTCTCTCTTTCCCTGCAGCGTCAACTGGAGGCACACCAGGAGGAAGGCATGGTGATCTCCCATATGGCTGTAGCTGGAGTGGGAATCTGGATTGCTTTCAGCACAGGTTCCACCCTCAGACTCTTTCACACAGAAACACTGGAGCACCTACAGGACATCAACATTGCAACCCCAGTGCACAACATGCTGTCGGGTAAGATCTAGTCGACAAGCATTGTTTAAATATTGAGTCAGGTTATACCTTCCTTTGAACTGGAAATCTGTGTCAGGCAAGTTCATTTCTATTCCATTTCTAATCTTGATTGCTCCTCCCACACTACAGCCACATCTGTTAATCAAGCATGTGAAACATTAACTAGAGGAAGGTTTGATTTCCTGATTTCTGCAGGTGGTGGAATGTTCTCATAGCTTTACAGGAACACTATTGTGTGACTAAAATGTCAAGTTCATAATTCTAGAATGTGTGTAATATTTTGAGAATGTGGTTTTAAATGTGGTTTTGAAGGCCATTTAAGCTTCCCTCACACTTTCTCTTATGTTCAATATTGCCTTGAGTTCTTTCACACATTTTAGAATCCTGGGCCTTTGTAAGACTTCTTATATAAGTTGTTAACCATGTTCTGTCTCTTACAATAATTGTACAAAACTAATTACTTTTTTAAACTAGTTTATGGTTATTATGCTTGAAAGCTTACTCTGAGCTCTTTTCCCTGTTACCTCTATCTTCTAGTTTTATAGCTGATGGTTTATTGCTGGTGTTGATCTGGTGTTTAAGTGTTGAGCCGCATTAACATATTTTAGTAGGAATAACAACAACCAAGAATTAAGTGTACTGAAAAGATTATGGAGTCTTTAGTTAAAATTTAGCTTAACCTGCATGGGCTGAGAGCTAAGCTCCTGGACAGAGGGTGAGGAGGCTAGGACTCCCATGCGTGAGGAGTGAGGAGTGACCAAGGGGCAACTGCAGAGGTAGAGGTGAAATCAAAAAGATGTATGCGAGGCAGAGAAGGAGATCAGGTACAGTATTTGTTCTGTTTTAGAAAAGCAGGAGTGTCAGGAGTGATTGCATATTACTAACAGCTGAGTCTGATCGAACTTGGTTGTTGTCATCCCTCCCGAACGTAACCGAATTAACCTGGGTAAATTCAGAAATAATCAAATATAATTATTACAGTACTGTACATGCCGAAGGTATTATGTGGTCCAAAGCCAAGTGGAGTGTCTCTTCACATTTTAGAGATATTACCACAAATGCACTCCCAACATTTGCCATTTAGCATTTGTACATTTTTCTAAAGTGTTTTGTTAATGTTAATGCACTGAAATGATAGCAAAAAAAAACATTTAAATGGATTTTTAAGATGCTGGGCGTAAAGATGACATTTCTACTTCTAGATGAGAATTGCATCCTTGCGGCAATGATCAGAAAACTTGCTTACATGACACATGGAAAGAGATATACGGGTGATCTTGTGGACAATGAATTGCAACACAGCAATGTCACTGAAGCTCTTGTGGCATTAGGCATGATTTAAAAGCTACTTAAAAACAATGGCCGACAAGTGGAGAAAGTACAAATCATACTCTTCTGGCAGCCATTCCTGATTGTACTCCGCTGCAGATGCATTGCGACTTATCGATTTATCCTTTCTATTCTCTCATAAAAGAGGAGGTTATGAGTTGAATAATGTAGGCTACCATGTAAAGTAGGCAACCAAATAAGTCTATTTTTTTTAATCAAAGCTTTATTTGAAAAATTCAAATTCATTTGCTAAGCATTAATGATTTAGAAAGACAAATGTCTTTTTAACCTTTTTAGAATTGAAAAGTAATTCCTTTATAATGACCACGACAAGGTGGAGTGCTGTTTTTGGAGGGTGTTAAAATGCTTTGCAGAGTTTTCCTAAGAGTGAAGCCACTCATGCAGATCTAAAAAACTAGTGGGATGTAATAATAAGAAGAATCTGTTATGTGTTCGTTGATACTGTCACTCACACTGTCCAATTCTGACATGGTAAACTCTGATACTTCAAACGTTAATTTGTAAATAGGCAGTGCAGGTTTACTCCACAAGATGTCTCAAACTGACTGGTAATTTTGGCAGGTAGCTCCACCTTTGTGGTTGTTTTTTTATAGCTGTGGAAACATGCTACATTTTTCCTTGTCATAACAGTTTGAATGCTGCGGTCGTATTCATCTGCCATTCAAAGTATTTGGCCTTAAAGGTTGCACTTGCCAACATACAACAAATAACTGCTTATCTCTCTGCACTGAATTTCCTTTTGATGTTTTCTCGTGTTCCTTTCAAGTAATGTGGACGACGTCATCCTTATTTCATTATGCCCTGGTCTGAGTTGACATTTGTTCTGACTTACATTGTTAAGGGGCATCACAGTCTGTGCAGATAATGTGAGTTTACATAAATATGACAGCAGATTGTTTCCATCAGCTAAGCAATGCAGAGAGAAAAGATTGTCATATTACCTGTCATGTTTTGGGAATCGTCTGTGCTCTTTCAGCACTGACCATTGGTAAGATGAGGGCTTTGGTCTGGAGAGCAGTTTATTCCAGGTGTATAACAATGTGTAAAAGGGCACTGTTTTGCTCTTCAGGTGAATATGACAAAGTTGTTATGATTATATGCACAGAAAGCAACAGAAACTGTTCCAAACATCTTCCAGCCTGTTCTAATGTTATTGGTCCTTAATGTCAACAGATGTGTATCTGGCAGGACAGCACTTGTTCACGTCAGGTTCCACCCCTCATTTTGTCAAAGCCTAATCAGCTTTTCTGAAACACTCATAATTCATGTCTCGAGCTGCGATTATAGAACCTGCTTTGTGCATAAACAGGTTTTGTGCTGAAATATGCTTGATTCCTCCACAGATTGCCAGTGGCTAAAACACGTCAAGACAAGGAGAAAGTACAGTATGTTGCAGGGATATGTAAGGGCGCTGTACAGGAACTCCGTCAGTCTGAGTCACCCTGTTTTCCCTCCTATAGAAATATCTTTAATGTCAAATTCTTGTTTTCTGCAAGCTACAGAAGGGAAAATCATTGTCATACTTGCAGCTACCGACATGGGCTGTCAAGAATGAGGAGGTGAAATCTTTTATCAAAAATGGTTTATCCCAAAACTGTGTGTTCAGGTTCTTTCTCACTACTCAGTTTCCCTCAGACAGGTCAGGGATTAGGGATAACCTCCAAATACCCACCCTATGACCGCCGTGTAAAAATCTATATGAAACAACCATACAAACAGTAATAATTCTCACAAAACATAATGGCAGGAACAAATAATTTTACATGATCATAGGAATTTTAGAGCCCACACCTAGTGCTTCATAGCCTATTGCTTAATTTCATGCGAGAGAAGAGAGAGATGTTTTCGCTGACCACAGTGCAAAACAATTAAAAGGAAATTCAGCTTTGTTCCAAAGGCCATCAGGCTTGCAAACAGTGACTGTAATGAAGTCTGTCTATTCAGACAGAAAAAACTTTATTACCTTCTTAAATACTACACACTGTTACTGTTACACACTGTTACTTTCACTCACTTTTATGGTCCATTTTCTGTTTTTTACATGTATATTTTTTCTTAGAAATGCTGTTTTTATAATTGTTATGTATTGTACGTTGCACCTCTTGCTGCTTACATTGCCCCCCTGGAGGCGAGTAAAGTATTTTGGATTGGACTGGACTGGATTGTAAGGTACTGTTAGTACATCCCCTGCATGATCCAGTTGCAGCTCCAGGGGCTGATGGCAAATACAGGAGTTTGAATGTCTTCTGACTCATTCCCCATAAACGCTCAGTTCTAGGTCTTATACTAGAATTTTAGTATGCTGTAAATGTTAAATCAAGTGAAATGTAAGTGCGGTATAAAATTATTTCTTTACGTATTACTTGTTGAAGAAAGAATTTGTTATGGGGAGTGACAGAACTCACGCCAATGTCATCTGTAAAACTGACCTGTGACTTTTTTACAGTTTGCATTGCATGCTGGTTGAAATTCTGACCCTGAGGATATATTGAGTAGACATGCAGTGGTAGTTATTGCCTGTGCTTGGAATTGGCTGTCTTTTCCATAAGGAATTCCATGTGTCCTTATTTAACATTTCCATACATTTTTTTCAAACTCCAATGAAAGGTTTATTTTTGTATTCTAGCAGTATTAGGCTTCTGAGAATTCTTGATTTTTCACTAATCATAGGTCTTGGAGAACAGTGACCCATCAATCTATCAATTTTCTCTCTTTGACGTTTCTGTTAATTTACTTGAGAACTTTGTCATGTGACTGGTCACTGAAGTGCATTTTCTTTATCTGTGTGTGTGACTGCAGGTCTAGAATAGTTTGGCACAGTATAAGTCATAGGTTGTCAAATATCTTCATCACTTAGCATGATTTCATGATACTTTCCCTTTACTATGGTTTAACTTATTTGAGGGAGTACAATAAAGCTTATCCTTTTTCGACCTTGTCTCGTTAATACTGGATTCATGTGTTATACTGATTTTTATTTAATTGTGCTTCAGTTCATGTTGCAGAGTTTTATTGAGTTTCAATGAAGTATTGATTTAAAAAATGTCCAACAAACTGTCTAGTTCAGGCACAAGCAAGTCATTGCTTTTAGGTTTATTTATGCAATAATATCTGCATGAGTGGTACATACTGCTATTTGTTCTAATAGAATTCAGATCTAAAATAAATTAAAAGTTGTCTTGGCAAGAACATTATTTGTTAATAATCCCACTTGTATCCAGAAGTCCAGCTGGCACTTTAAACACCACATTCTAGTGGTTGTTAGAGGTCTGTCTGGCATTGTAACTTGCTACAGAATTTGAACAGGACTGTGGGCTGAGAAATCCATATTAATGATCTCAGGGTTCTATTACAAAATGGTGATGGTATTTAAAATACAGATCTCTGTACCCCTGTGCCTTTTTCAGTCTACAATTTGAAAGCATAGAAATGAAATCAGTATAAGTTTATTGTATAAACAGGAAGCCAAGGACACTGGGATAATACAAGGACAGGTACGTGATTGAGCAGACACAAACGCCGGTAGCTTGACTTTAGGAGCATGAAGCAAGGGCATCAGTGGCAAAGACCACAAGCCTATCAGGAAACATGGAGGTCACTCTTTTTCGAGCGTACGCAGCATGGTTCCAGACACAGAAGACGACCGCCCA